GTGCTGAAAGATCATTTTGAGGTCTACAATAGGTCAGGAAAGGCTGGTCGGATTACCTTTATTGAATATTCCTATAGATCTAGAAATAGATATAGATGCTGATATTGATGAGTTTTCTAAGCAATCTAAATAAATTGCTTTATAATCTAGTCACTAAGGCTCATAATATTTTGTTAATAAGATTAAATTTAGAGTTTTGAATGTTAGGTTACCTACTTTATAGGTCGCGTGCACGATGACCGACCCTGGAGGCAAAATGTTGAAAAACAACCTCACTCTTCTGTGAATAATTGAAACACAACCTCACTTTTTCATTTGTTTACAGAGGAATCAAAAGGTTCAAATAATTTTTCACAATATTTTGGCATACGAATCGTGTTTTTTACGTTATTCATTAATTCAAGCATTCCTTCGCATTGTGCTGTTGTACCGGGTGATTCATTAAGGGTAGCGAGGTACCATATCTCAGGAACTAGAAGTCGTACGAGGTTGAGAAAAAAATTCTATCTAGGAAATCGATCAAGGGAAATTGCTGGAAATAGTTTTTTAGTTTCTATATCTACCGCTGGAGGGCGTAATTGCTATGGTCCTATAAAAAATTGATTTTTCCAGCGAACTTTTCAACATGAGCTGAGGAACAGAAGCTATCACGCTAATGCTGTTAAAATAGTGCATCTTTTTGTTCCTACACTTCTTTTCGTACGATGTGAAATAAGGGCGGTAGCCAAGGTTGAACCTTACCTGACTAAAATACCTATACCTTTGATTTGACTGAACGGAATTCAGCATACTTGGCCTCGTTCGAGAGAGTAATGTTTGTTGATTATATTGAAGGAACACCAGTGCCATGCTGGTTCCAGCTGCACTCACTAGGAAGCCTAATTAAAACATTTCTGAATTTTTTGATTTTACCCCAAAATCTTAAATGGAATGATATTATTATTTTATCAGTTTTGGAAAGTGAATAAAATTTGCAAGAAATTGATTCAAACCGCATGTTGATATCTTCATTCGTTCCAAAGTTATCTCCTAGAGAATATCTATTAATGAATTTATTGAAGAAATAATTAATTTTTCTATTAGCATTCAAAGTTCAAGCAAAGAATATAAATTGCTACTTCGAACAAATAATTGCATTTATCTGTCACAAACAAATTGAACAAATCATGACAACTGGTCGTTTCCAAGGAAATTTGAAAAATAGAAGAATGAATTGTTTCTTCAATAAATTCATTAATAAATATTCTTTAGACGATAACTTTGAAACGAATGAAGATATCAACATGCGGTTTGAATTAATTTCTTGCAAATTTCATTCACTTTCCGAAACTGATGAAACAATTATATCATTTCATTCAAAATTTTGGGGTAAAATCAAAAAATTCAGAAATGTTTCAATTAGGCCCCCTAGTTCAATTCAATCAACAAACATTACTCTCTCGAACGAGACCAAGTTTGCTGAATTCCGTTCAGTTAAATTAAAGGTAAAGGTATTTTAGTCAGGAAAGGTTCAACCGCGTCTACCGCCCTCATTTCACATCGTACGAAAAGAAGTGTAGGAACAAAAAGATGCACTATTTTTAAAGCATTACCGTGATAGCTTCTGTTCCTCAGCTCATGTTGAAAAATTCGCTGGAAAAATCAATTTTTTATACGACCATAGCAATTACGCCCTCCCTCGGTAGATATAGAAACTAAAAAACTATTTCCAGCAATTTCCCTTGGTCGATTTCCTCGATAGAATTTTTTTCTCAACCTCGCACGACTTCTAGTTCCTGAGATATGGTACCTCGCCACCCTTACTGAATCACCCGGTACAATGCACAAAAAATGCAGCAAGAGACTAGGGAATATGATTTTTCAGGTAAATAGTAATCTCACATAGTTATCATTATGAAATGTTGTCATTCCTTATTAAAATTCCTTCTGCCTTCTGCCACTTCTGCAATACAAGCTAATACTGCTAATTAATAGATTAATAGATTGAAAATGTCCTCCCGATTGATTGCATGAATTCAATATTCTTGCATTATTCTAGAAATTTCAGGCATATTTCTATCAGCTCTTATTGCAGAAGGAATTCCGATGAGGAATCAGAGATCAGAGAAATAACCAAATTTCAAAAATGAAAACTATATGTGAGTGAGGTACTAGGTAGTAGGTACTTACTTTTAAATCATAATGTACCATCCGGATGCCTTCATCTTCCGCTGCAGATTTTGTGCATTACGATTCATATGCCAAAATAATTGTGGAAAACTATTTCCATCACTTGTAAACAAATAAGAAAAGTGACGTTGTGTTTCAATGTTTTGCCTCCAGTGTCGGTCATCTGACAGGTCTTGCACGCAACCCATAATATCTAATGGTGAAAATTGAGAGATAATTTTTTTTATTCTCATCTAGTTCATATGAATATAATACGCATATTAAATGTGTTAATGTTTTATTGAGATTATTTATCTTGATTTGTTTATTAAAATGACTGATGATTGTTCTTTTTTTTTATTTTGAATAGTATCAATACAGAAACTGCTCTAACAGAAGCTTATTCATTTATTCATTCATTTATTAATTTATTCGCCATTTTAGGTTGCTATAACAGAGCCAGTTCCAGAAAACAGCATCCACTATGTAAGAATCAGTCTAGTCACTTCTACAATCATACATAAACATTTCTCATCGGTATAAAATTATCAGGCAGTAATACGAATGTGATTTAAAAATATAGTATGAAAATGGTTTTTCATCATAATATAGTGAAAATTATGGGAAATGATGGATCATAAGAGAAGGAGTACATCAGGAGAAGAGGAACCATTTTCAACAATTGATCTGAGTTTAGGAATATACTTTTGAAAAAAATTTTGAAACGAGGCAAAGATGTCGAGAAATTGTCGAAAGATTGGGATCGTTACAGTGTGTCTTGAATGCTTTTTGCATATACGAACTAATGGCGAGTTATGTCCTAGAATGGTTCTACAATAAGGGATATTGAATGGGGTGTAATATCGAAGATTGTTTCTACTAGGGACATTGAAATTTATTTTTGCAAGTAAGTATTGGCAGTCGATTTCATGTCTGTCTTGAAAGGCTAGGGATCTTGAACACTTTCGATATTTTTTGAGTGTACGGCATAATGAGGATTCCAAATAGCTGACGCGAAAGAAAGCTTGCTGTTAACGAATGCATAATATTGCGAGATGATAGTCTCAGAATTATGAAAATATTTTCCGTTTCTTTTCATGAACCCAACCATCCTGTTTGATCAATATGTCTATATGACTGTTGAAAGTCCATTTTGTGTCCAGTGTGACGCCTAGATCTTTGATTTCGCTGATATATTCAAAGTTGTTATTGTTAATCTTGTGAGATTTCTTCTGCATTTCTTATATCCACTTTTCAGTCATCTTGTTCCTAGAATCTGTGGTAATTTCGGGACACCCTGTATATTATTCTTACTATTCGTTTCTGAATGACTTCGATTTTCTTAACCCCAAGCTTTCCGAGTCGAAGATTTATTCTAGATACACATTGAAATTGTTCCGTCCGATATAAAACCCGGATATATACCTTGTCGATAAAATTTATCGCGGTGATTTGTTTAACGGCGAAAAAAAAAGCCAAGCATTTCCTTAAGCACTATTGACAATGCGATAAATTCGGTCGGCATCCAATAAAATCAAATGCACGTACGATTGCGGTCGTACATTACCATTAAATCCCAATTATCTGATGTTTACCGTCTGTTTTTCCACCGGAAAATACACTCCTCTTGTCTGCGATGAGGGGGCGGAATACTATGGCGATTTTATAACGTTGGCATCGCTCGCAGAACATTCAATGAGAAAAATTTTATGACGCCAATCCATGAGAACGTCTACGTTGACTTAACGTTTATTGAACGTTCATTCAACGTTCAATTGGTGAAATATACATCACTCGTTGAATTTTCAACATTCCCAATCTGGTTATAACAACATGGTAACATGAGGAACAGTAAAATCACAATAATTTTATTGAAATGAATTTGTGTTTTTTTTATTCTTCATGAAAATTCGTTGATCCTAAAAGTTGTGAAAGAGTATCAGCTAAAAGTTAGAGACTGGCCAATGATGACAGATTTTTTAACGTTTTTTATTTTATTTTTTTTTATGTTCCGGTTCCCACGAAATGGGATATCCTGTAATGTTCAGAGAACAGTGAGAACCAAGAGAAATAAGGTAGGAATAGGTGTTTTTCTCAAATTTCTGGAGGTTATATGCCTCGGGGACACCTCCCTTGGCAATGTGTTCCAGAGTCTCGCTGTTCGTTCGATGAACGAGTCTTTGGAAAGTGATGTTCTGCAGGTCTTCAAAGTGACCACGAAGGGGTGCGAAGCCTCAACTCGGAGGGTTGATCTCCCGGTGACTGCCAAGGGAGGAACAATTATTGTTGAAATTTCAGGAGAGCATCGTCCATGGAAATATCTATAAAAAAGAGCCAGATCGCCAACTTTTCTACGGTGTTCCAGAGAAGTGAGCGAGGCATCACCCACGAGACGAATTGCCCTTTTTTGGACAGAATCCAACAGTTTCAAGGCATGTTTGGGTGCTGCATTCCAAATATGGGAACAGCATTCCAGGACAGGTCGGATCTGTGCCTTAGATATCATAAGCAGCTGACTGGAAGTGAGAGAGTTCCTGCCCCGAAACAGAAAACCAAGTTTTCGAGATGCACTTTTAGCAATGGATCGATCGCGATCGAATGTTATCACAGCATCCCTGACCTATACATTGTCAATCAAGCAGTATACAAGTTGAATTGGAATGGAGATCAGATCTGAGCCAATAAAAAACAACCTTGATGATGCACCACATGTTTCATCATTATCCGATGATTCGAGAGATATTGCAATACAAATTCTGAGAATTATGATTATGATGATTATGAATCAATAACCAACCATAATTTGATATCTGGCAATCGATATTATTCAATCTACAATACAATTTACTTACCTGCAGTTTTCTGTTCAGTCTGTTCTATGGAAGTTACCACTGTATCAGTCAGGAACATCACCAAAACAAAAAATGTCACACAGTTTAAGGATAGCACCATCACTGCCATCATCAACAGTTCTATTAACACTACAATAATGGTTAAAGATGCTGAGAGGCTAGTTGGTGTGATAAACATTATCTTTAGTGAGAATCATTGTTTTGGTATCTCGACGAAGCTGCATGATGATTCAATAGCGACACAATCCTGTTGTTCTCTATGTTCTCGAAGTCGAAGGGTTATTTGTAGATATCTGAAACAAAAAGGATAATTTAATGAAGGTAACATAGCGTCAAAACCTGCGCTGACTTTAAACAGCGCTTTTGAAAGCAGTAGGCATTTTTCGAGGCGTTATCAATGGCTTGCTGCTTCATACGTCAATATCATATCAAAATATAGGTCCATATCGCGATATTATTGAATACTGATGGGCACTAGTGACGCAAGCATCAACAAAACAGGAAAAGCCGCCCGTATTTGTGTGTCCGAATCAATGTTTTTCGATATCAAATGTTGTGTCTCTCAATATTTTGACCGTCGATATCAATTGTTGTGTCTCTTTATATTTTGACCTTCGATATCGAATGTTGTGTCTCTTTATATGTTGACCTAGACCTACAGCTTCAATGTACGAGGTGGAAAAAATTCAAATATAGAAGTTGTACGGTGTCATCTTTTGTTTTTATCTCTTATTACCTATTAGCCTTTTTTCGTAAATTACACTACTGCACTACTGCGGTCATCTACATTCTACATAGCTCCAGGAAATCGACATGTTGGGGATTATAGAAACGTTTCCAAAACATTAAGATCAATTATATAATACAGTTTCGCACAAAAACTACAACAAGCAATATTGTCGCAGGTTTTCCTAACGTTCCACCTCCAGGGTCGGTCATCGTGCACGCGACCTATTAGTTAATCTGAGGTTGAACCTGCGCTGTTTGCTGTTTCGTACAGCAATGTACAATAATTCTTCCGCATTTAAAGTGTATCAATATCTGAAACTAACGTGCAAGTAAAACGATATGCAACAATTCTTTCTCATCCGAACTGTATCATTATTTCCTCTTAGTCCTTGAATATCGTACACTTGGCTGGAGTGTTTGCAATTTGCAATACACCAACATCAGTTGTATACATCGGATGTCGGCAGATCCACAAGGGTCACGAATTGGTTGAACAATATGACAATACGGAAAGTCAAGAGATCTCTCTGTGCTTTGACAAATAAACTTGGAAACAAGTTGAATGGCGCATTGTGCAGAGTTGTTCAGAGAGGAAGTTTGGATGTCAGTTAAACGTCGTATTGAATGGAAATTCAATGTCCGTGTGTACCTACCTATTCCATTCCAATCGATAGAAATGGACATTGACTGATGGGATTAGAGATAAAGGCGGATGAAAAAAGTATATGGGGGGAAGTCATTTCTGATTCTAAACTGAAGAGATCTTCAGCTTTTGTATTTTTTTACGACAGCTCAACGCATCGGACATGATCCAAGCAGATATACAGGGTGTTTCGAAATTCGACCGACAACGCTTGACAGGTGATAGCCCTCGTGATTTCATAATCACTGAGAGGGACATAATGGTCTTCAAGTGTTCAGTTCTCGAGATACAGGGCGCTAAAGTCAAGAAATAAAAATATGAATATGAATGGGTCATTTTTTGACCAGGAAGCCATTCCGCACATTTCATCCAGTGGTGCCTTACAGGGGGCTGTTGCAACTTTTTCTCCCATATTTTCTACGCCACTGATTAAATTTCAATTATCTCCAATTCCACGAATTCATTGTTCAATTTCGTAAAAAAAATTCATCACTTTCAACTGAGCTGAAATGAACAGTTTTCGAGATATTCGACCCAAAATAAAAGATTGCACAGCAATATGTCATCATTTTCAGTAGTAGAAAATTGCAAAAATATGTTTCTGGTGTTGAGTAGATCAGATACTATTCAAATATCATTCTTTTTTTTTATCGCTTGGAGCGCACGAAAGGGAATCCCTATAATGTTCAAAGAACATCGTGCGTTCCTAAGGAGGATAGGAACAGGAGGTAGGTATTGGAATTTTTTTTGAACTTTTGGAGATTATATGTTGTTGGGAATACTTCCACAGGCAATGAATTCCAGAGCCTAGCCGTTCTATGGATGAGGGAGTCTTGATAAAGTGCTGTTCGACATCTTTCGAGGTTGACAACGAAAGGATGTGCTGACTGGGCTTGTCTAGTTCGTCTGATTGGTATTGCTAGTGAAGGGATAATAGCAGAGATTTCCGAAGAACATTTTCCGTGGAAGGATCGATAGAAAAGTGAAAGGTCGCCGACCTTTCTACGGTGTTCCAATGATGTCAAAGAGTGAGTGAGTGTGGCGTCACCCACCAGGAGAATGGCTCTTCTCTGGATGGAATCTAATAGCATCAGCGTATGTTTTGGTGCTGAACCCCATATGTGGAGACAGTATTCTAGAACAGGCCGTATCTGCGCTTTGTAGATCATGAGAAGCTGTTGAGGTGTAAAGTAGCTTTTCGCACGGAACAAGAATCCGAGTTTTTGTGAAGCAGCTTTTGCGATGGATCTGACATGATTATCCCATGAAAGAGTGTTGCTGATGGAAATACCGAGCATAGATATGGTGGGCTTGGTGGGGATGGTGGAGCCAGACATTACAATATCAGGCATACTGAGTTCCGCCTTTCTAGAGAAAATGCAGGCTTGAGTTTTGGTGGCGTTGAATTCAACTAGGTTGTTTGTTCCCCAGGCTGTGATTTCAGCAAGATCTTCATTGACAGCATCGACCTGCCTGCGCCGTGAGTTCTTAGTTTCTTGGGAAGAAATGGGAATTCTGGAAGAGAACGCAGTATGGAGGGTACTATCATCTGCAAAGCTGTGGATGGGGCAAGTTGTTACTCCCAACAGATCATTGATATGAAGCAGGAATAATGTTGGTGCCAAAATTGATCCTTGTGGAACGCCGGAATTGATGTCAAAGGTATCAGACGATACACCGTCCACCACCACTTGAAGCGATCTGACTGAAAGAAAACTCGATAAGAGATGGCATAGCTGAGGTGGTAAGCCGTATGATGTAGTTTGTGGAGGAGTCCTTCGTGACAAACACGGTCGAATGCTTTCGAAATGTCCAACGCGACAACTAGAGATTCCCCGTGTTTTTCTATTGAAGATTGCCATAAATGGATGACGTAGGCAAGTAGATCTCCAGTAGATCTTCGGTGTCGAAAGCCTTATTGTCTATCATTGATGATTCCTGAGCTCTCCAGATATTTGATAAGCTCAATATTGATGGCTTTCTCCATCACTTTGGAGATAACTGATAACAGGGCAATGGGCCTGTAGTTGTTGGGCAGGTTCTTGTTCCCTTTTTTGGGGATTGGTTGGACTCTAGCAGTCTTCCAGCATGATGGAAAAATACCCGACTGCAGAGTCATTCCCACCATTCGCGATTCCTTACATTTATTCATGTTTGGATGTAGTTCGTTTTGTATTGCTGGCATGCACTTTTTTGTAATTTAGTAATATATCGCGCTGTCTATACAGAGTGTCCGTTTTTCGAGCTCCACCATGGGGATCTCAGTTTCTATAGGAGATACGAGGTCGGTTAAATCAGGGCAAAGTTTTATGTGTCATTTTTAGTTTTCGAATTATGCTGTTTGAGTTGCAACCATTCTAAGTATACCTGAACTGATTACCGAACATGCACCAACTTTCGGCACTATCTGTATTTTGGTTGCGCAATTCTTTCAAAAGATTCCCATATGTTGCACCCTTAAATGACCATACTGTATAGTTAGTTAGTCTGAGGTGACGTTCTACCTATCTATAGGTATCATTTTAGTAGATTGTCTATCCGGTCAATTGCTGCGCTATCGGTCAAAGCATCTCTTGTTATTCCAGCCGCCGCCTGACAGGTCGTCGCTCTTCTATTGTTTCATAAATTAGCGGTCGGCGTATCGAAAGTGTTATTTTCCGCAATGGAATGTGGCGCCAGGGATAAGCGAACCCTTCTATCTGGCGAAAATTGCCCGAGGGTAATTAATGCCGCAGATTACCTGGAACAGAGAAAGTACATTAATAAAAGTCGAATATAATTATTATGGATGTTCGGTCATGGTGGTTATCAAGCGGTTGTTGCAAATAGTTTATTTTTCTCATTTTCAGGAGAGGGTCGATTTATAATTGAGTTTCTATGGCCGGGTGATTTTTCAGTTTCATATCTGTATTTACAAATGAACCAGGCGTTTAAAATAGCAATTATATTTTCTTGACAGATTGGATGATTCATTATATGAGTCCTGTAGATATGGAAAGGCTGTTTCAGATTTAAATGTGCACTCGATACTTGCAGATAGAGGACACATTTTGTCGGTTCCCAGCGAGCACAAACATCCCTGGGATGTTTTTTGGGATGTTTTGAAAATGTTGACATGAAGATTTCATTTTGAGACGTAATATGCACTGACCAGAGAGGTCTATGAAGGATATTGAAGTATTGTTTTTGTTCTTCTGTGGCATTTCTTTGTTTGCCTACTGAGAGGTATCCCTGGGATGTTTTGGGATGTTTTAGAAATGTAGGCATGAGGATGTTTTTTTGAGACGTAATATGCACTTCCCAAAGAGGTCTTAGAAGGATATTGAAAGTATTGTTTTTGTTCTTTTGTGCCCTTTCTTTGTTTGCCCTGTTATATGTTCAGAATGTATGTTATTTATTAACTTTAATTAATGAACATATAGAGAGTTGTAATATTATATTTTATAAAATTACGACAGTTCTTGATTGACAATTCAATCAATAAATATCACCTTAGTATTATCATAATACCGAGTGTATTATGTAACATGCCCCCTCAAGATAATATAACATAAAATCAACAATTATAATCTTGATATCTTGAAGGTGGTTTGATCATTCGCCTCAAAGTTGATCGAACATTATTCTCAGACCTCGTAGCAGACTCTTCTGCTTGGAATCTTCTTTCTCCAATATCTTCTCTTCTATCTTCTGATGCTCTTTCTTCAACAACTTCCTCCCTTTTCTCTCTCCTTCTTTCTTCTTGACGGATTTCTTGTCCAGGGCGTAAATGTATTCTGTTTCGCCGATACACTCCCCCGCCTTCTGTTTGAACAACATAGCTCTCCGGTTCGTTACAGTCACTCAAGATCATGCCAGGAATCCAATTTCTTGAAGATTGTTGCATTAAAACTGGTCCTTTCAAAGGTTGTAAGGGTTTTT